CGCAGCGGCCGCTGGGACCTGGCCGCCAGCCCGGCCCGGCGGGGAGGAGGGCTGGGCCCGTGGTGCGGGGCTTCCCTGGCCGGCTGGAGTCGGGAAGCGGCCGGCTCGGGGCTGCCGGGAGGGACATGGCTGCAAGGCTAGGGCTAGCCGGGCGCTCCCTGACTTGTGTCCCCCAGCGCCGCCACCTGCCGCGCGCCGGGCTCTCCCCACGCACGGGCTGGCCCCTCTAGCGTCATTTGAGGCGGCTCGCTGCCAGTGGCTCGGGCCAAGGCCGCTGCGCTACGTGCACGGGGGGAGGGGGCGGAGAAGCGCCGCGGGCCTGTCCAGGCTTGTCCCGGCCCCCCGTGTCGCTGGGGTGCAGGTGGACAAGCCTTCCAGTGCGGGAGGCGCTTCCTCGGAAAGCTTGTCGCAGCCACTTAGTCGGGTCAATAACTGATTCCCCCCGTCCGCCCTTTGGTCCTCCCTTGCGGCCCATCGGGGTGCCCCTCACCCCCGCGCTCCTTGCGGTGCCACCCCGGGGAGAAACCCGCTGCTGCGGGGGTCTGTCCCTCTGTGCTGGGATTATCCTGCGGGGAACGAAAGGGTTAACCAGGCTGGCTGACTCCGGCGGGAGCCGGGAGGTGCGGAACGGGCGGTTCAGGCGGCGCCCGCCGGGCCCTCCAGCTGTGCTGCTCCCCAGCCCCTGCCCCCCTCCAGCCGGGGGGAGCCCCTCAACCCTGGCATCTGGCCCAGCTCCTAGTGGGAGCTTCAGAGGCTTGTTGAGCCAAAGCCGGGGTAGCCTGCACCTATTTAAAGCGGGGCCTACCCTTTGAGGTGCAAGCCTACCCTGGTTTCGGCTAATCACCCCTGTGCTCTTGTCTCGTTGGGGCGCTTCTTACAAAATCCGGGGCTCCCAAAACCAGCTGGCTTAGGTTACTGCGGCTACCCCCAGCTCTGCAGTTGCAATAAGCCACAGTGCAACGCTTACCTGCTTGTTGGTTGGAGCTGGGAGGTGCCTGGAGTTAATTAGCTGAACTAGAAGAGCCCTTTGACTACTGTGAATAAACACTGAAAAAACACAATTAGTGAATACCTGCAGTGTGGCTTTTCCAATGGCACCAGAGTGCCAACAGACTTGCAAATAGCATAAACCAGACCTTGCAATATCACTCCTAAAAAGTGCATTGTTTTTTAGGGTCCAAGAGATCCCCTAAAAACGCTTTAGGTTCTTATAAAAACCTTTTAAAAAGGCATGTGATTCTTAAGCACGGTCTCTAATGTCAATTGCTTAATTGTTAAAGTCCTGGGCTTTTTTTTTTTTTTTAACACAGCATTGCGAAAGCCCAGGTTACCACTTGGATTTCTCTCAGCCTGAATGGCAAGCTGCTGCTGGATGCCCGTGTGCTATTGCACTGTTACGATTGGGGTAGAACTAGAGGTTCATCAGCTTGTTTGATCTGCTGCCCCAAAATTAATTTTAAAAGTTCTTAAACGTTACTGAATAGTTGGGTAAATACGAGTACAAGCAGTGTAAAATTCAGTCGAGCTGGCTAGAAGCACTCGAGCACCTTGTCTGCTGCATGGCTGAAATGGTTACAACCCACTTGGCATTCTGCACAGCTTCATGCAGCATTTGCCTCCGGCTCCTCAGACAACAGCTTTGCGGTCCTGAAAGTGAGAGGTTGAGAGGAGAGGTAAGTTAGTGGGTGACACCTTTTTTTTCTTGGTCTTTTGGTGGGTGGGAAAATCAGTACTGAGCTCTAATACCTGCTTGTACACGCCCTATTCTGGAAATGCTTTATTATAAAAATAGATGCAGTTGGGTTGTGCAAATGCTGAGCACTAGTCTGAACTATCTTTCTTTAATTGATTTTACGTGACATCTGTTGTCACCTTAGCAGCTATCCTGGCCCCAGTTTTTCACTCCCAGTTTCTTCCCCTTCCCCCCATCAGCCCACTTTCCAATCTTAATTTTCTCAATTATATTTACTGACTTTGCTCTCATTTACACTTCAGCAATGATTGGAAAACTTGGCTACATGCCTACATTAGCTATTCTGCATTGTATCTATATTTAGGCAGCCGTGTACGTGCTAAGGCTTAAAGTGTCTGCTGCAATGACTGGAGAACCTAACGCACCTCTGGGACTACTGCAGCAGCTGTATTGCTTGCTAGAACAGGGACCTGAAGTTTCCCAATAGGACATGTCCAAATTGCTTGAGATGCTTGGACCACAGCTACTGTTGGCTTGTAAGATTAGGAGAAGTTTTTAAGTCTTGGATCGCACTTTAGCTTCTCAGATATAACACAATGCTCAGAGCAAGGTTTCCAAAGTGACTCTTCTTTAAACAAAATCAGATGTGGCGTTCTGATGCTACTAGTCTTACAGCGAATACATGAGATGCTCGGGGCTAAATCTATGGCAGAGCTCCCATTTAGCTTCAGTTTAAGAAATGGATTTTACCCCCTGATTCTGAAAGAAAGTAAATACCAGGGAAAAAGCAATGCTCATCCTATTGAATTAGGAAAAACTGGGAGGAGTCAGCATAGGCTTAGGGAATAATTTTGCACTGTTCTGCTGAATTCAACAGAAAAAATATAGGGTCTTAAATTGAGGGCAGGTTAGCTAGCCTATGTGCCAGTCTTGTTGTTAGTGGTATGAGGACAAAGCATGTCAAGATCATTTCATTAAAAAAAAATACTACTTTAATGGCTTGGGGGGGTGGGGGATCTAAGCTACCCTCAGTGTTTAATTAAAGTTTAATGCGTATCAATTGCTGACACTTGTGGATTAAGCTCATAAGCATTTTACAGTAAAACTTCTAATTAATGAAGAGCTGCCTAATCACAGATCAAAACCATGAAGGGTTTCACAGCCGCTTCTGTGTACCTTACCCAGCACCTAATGTAGCAATGAGAAACTTTCGCTTCGTGCACCAGGATCTCGTGCTGCTGTGGAGCTTCTGAGAGTTTACTGTTTCATGCTGTTCGTCTTTTGCTCGTGCATGGAGGACCAAGACAGCCCCCAAAAGGGCAAATAATGACGAACTTTTTTCAGGGAGCTGGGGGCCTGCTTCACAATCTAGCAGAAAGCAAGGAGAATGTTTTAATCCAAGGATAACCTGTGCAGGGCTTAGGAAAGCCGAGGCACAGCGGTCATCTATACCCAGCCAGCACTAGAGTCAGCTCCTTGTAATCTGCATGCCGCAGATAACATGCTGCAGAGGCAGCAACGTAGGAGCCTTGCACAGCGGGCTTCTGAGACAGGGCAGGGCTAGTGCCCTGCTAATATGGACTGG